AAAAAAAAGAAAAGAGAATTTGGTTCAGATACCGGACGTAGTCTTGTTCCCGAGCTATCACAGCATGTATCCTTTGATGAGTGACCCGTAAAAGTTCATCGTCTTCATCAGTTGTGCGACGGTGGCGAACCTGCTCCAGATTCAGAGAAGCCAACAATCCAGTGATGGAGCGGTCAACATCAATAAACTGGGAAACTTTAGGCTAAGATCTTCTAATAAAAAAAATATTTCAAGAAACATTACCTCTTCTTCATAGTAGGCAGTCCCTGCAGAAGAGGATGCAATTTGACCCGTACTGCGCTCTTCGAGCTCATCGTCACTCATCGTGACGAGAAGTACAGTATATAGTCCTGTAACTAGCTTTTTTGCTATTGAGCTAGCGACTTACAACACTTATGTAATTGCGATATGTAACATGGTAGTCCTTGGCAATTGCAATGCTAGTTAAGTAGTTGCTGCTTCAACGCCGAACAATCAGTAATGGTATCTGACAGCAATATGATGAGTTTTCCAACTTCCCACTGCTGGATACGAGCAATCCGCGAAGGAAAGCTAGCCAATTTTTAAAAACAACAGCATGAAAATGCAGTAAATAAGAGTACTGTATCTTTGTCCGTAATCACGATATTATTCAGAGACATATTTGATATGAAAGCAAAACTTGCAGAATAGGATAATACCTGTTTCTATAATTTGACCGTAATCTACATGTTTATGTTAAAAGTGACAGAGAAGAATTAGAACACTGATTGTAGGCAATAGTGCTATATAAAATGAGCATACATTATACAGTACTGAATTACATTTCTACCAAAGCTCAATGATTGTCTAAATTTGATTGCTATTTTTATGGAAGATGAATCAAAGGATACATTTGTGCTTGCTCTCAATAAACCATGTTAGCAGAATTGCAATCAAACTTGAAGGTAAAAAGTATCCAACGTCGGTCAAACGAAGATAGCGTAATTCAATGGAATAAGAAGCTTAGAATGATGCATCCGAAAGAGATGTGGTATTGACAAGTTTTGTCGTCTCCTTGATTGACTGATAGTAACAGAGTCATGTTAATTTATTACCATTAATATATTTAATTCATCTAGACTTCTCAGAGAAGAGCTTCTAGCGGTGACAATTTCTAAAAGATCAACAGAAGTGCTGAAAGAGCGACACATTGAAAAATATAAGTAAATACTCAAAGACTACAAAACGTTAATTTTGAGGAAAACAAGAGCGATGAGAAATATCTTGAAGATTTCTTGAACGTGAACGTGGCCACTTCAGTGAAAAGGT